CCTTCCTTCCTTCCTTCCTTCTCCACTCCTTCCCTTCCCTTCATTTTCTTCCTTTCCTCCCTCCCTCCCTTCTCTTTTTCTCTTTATTCCCTTCCTTCCTCTCACAGATGCTTCACTCCTGGTCTTCCCCAGTGACGTCACAGAGGGCCACTTCACCTCGCAACGTCCAATCCGCTTTCTTCCTTTTCTGGGCCCAAACGGGAAGGGTCTTTACATTCAAACCCTTTTATTATTTTACGTTGGATCGTGGAGGAAATGCGTGCCAAGTTGGGTCCTGGATCCATCCGTCCCTGGAGGAGCCTTTGGGGGACAAACCAACCAACACACGTATATCCTTTTGACGTATATACGTACATAGGATGCCTGGATTGGGAAAAGGCATGGGATGATGATGATGATGATGATGCTGATGATGACGGTGGAAACAAGCAGTGTTTAAATGGCCAAAATATTTTCAGATTAATATCAAATGGGTTTAGTCTATATAAGAGTCTATAGACTATTTCTTTGTACAGCTGTATCCAACATATATATATAGATAGATAGATAGATAGATAGATAGATAGATAGATAGATAGATATGGTGAAGGCAGTGTCGTCTTTCCAAAAGGACCCCCATGACCGAACCAATCCTTCCATACATTCCACCCTCCCTTTCTCTCTTCCTCTGCAACAAAACAGGAAATCCAATGTCTGCACAATAGGGAAACATCTGTTTCCAGGACTTCCCGGTCTGGCTGGTTTCCCAATTGGGGCTGGACTACAGATCCCATCTGCACAGTCCAGATGCCTGTGGATGACGGCATCCCAAAAGCCTTTTCTGGGACGTAACGGACAGGAACTATGACTAGCTTGCCCAATGCGAGTCTGCAAATACACACACACTAGATAATCCTTCCCTTTCTGAGACAGAAACACACCATGCAAGATCCGAAGGCAACGGTGCGCCGACATCTGCAGTCCGCATGCGTCAGTGCGGCGGATTAGTGGAATCTAGCGCAGGCGTTTGGTTACGGGGCAGTGCAGGGGTTGCATCCGGATTGAGGCATCGGCTTTGTCCCGGTCTTACCCTGGGTGCTCACAGCCACATGGAGAGTGGAGCGGGGGCCCCCGGCGTCAGGGGCCCGGTGGGCACCGGGAGCCACGCTAGTGGGCACAGGCCCCGTGGGCATCTCCCGAAAAGGGGCTGTGGAGGAGGCGGCAGCGGTGGTAGTGGTGGTCGGCGTCTCCCCTGCGTGACCAGTGACAAATAAAGCGTCAGCGAGCGGCGACGTTGGAGGAAATGGAGAAACGGAGGGGACGGTCACCGGCAAAAGTGACCACCATCTGGGGGAAGAGGGTAGCACCCAAAATAGTTCGGACCTCGGACCAATTCTGGCCTACTGCTTCCTTGGCAAAACTGACACAATGGTTTGGACCACCCTCTCAGACCTCTAAGGACCT